TATTTGCGTACAGCCTGCTATACCCAATGTACAAAATGTTTCAATGCTTTATCCTCTAACGTAATTTTATCCCAATGAAATTAATATTCATCAATTAATTTTTTGTTATATATCATTTCGTTAAACAAACACACAAGTATATACAAATTGTTTTCCAGTATTATCGCCGTTCCAATTATTATTTATTTAAAATCCACGGGGAACGAATCTCATCCTATCTTAATTCTTTTAATTATCCGATAATAATTCAGCTTTCGAAATTTTTATTCCAAACTTTTTAAAAACTAGATCTTAGACTGTATCTCTATATTTCCACAACGCTTTTTCTAAATTACTATTATCAATTTCTCGTTGAAATAACGTCCCTTCCTCGAGCTATCGCCGTTTTTCTAGGCTGAGGGAAATCCCTTTGTCGAACAGGATCAGGGTTTTTCAATAATTCTTGCACGAGCATACGTCGAGGGGGGGCGATAAATCGGCGCGGAAACGCGTGTTACACGCGTATTACCATAACATAACGCATTTGCGAAACGCGTGGAAAGAGGAGGGGGTGGAAATTTGGCGATAGCGAGGAAAATTCGTTTCCCCTTACCCATCTTGGCTTGGTGAAGGGAAAATTCGATGCTCACGATGTTAGGAGGCAGGGTTGCGTCGAAATGAAAGCGTGATAGCGAAATTGGCAATATCGCGACTTTTCCCTACCATTTCTCCCTTCTTTCCTCTAAAATCGATCGCGATCCCTCCCCCACCTCTCCCCTCCACCGGTGGCAAATTTCCTTTCCATTCAGAATCCACCCTTCCACTCGATGGTAACGAGATTGTTGAGATTTCGTTAAGGATTCGTTCGGTATTAATTCCTTAACGGGGGAGGAGGGAGGGGGAAATTCAGCGTTGTCGAGTGGGGTGAAAATGGATAACTCTTAATTCTCGATTTCTCACCTTTTTTAAATCGTCCTCGTGGAATAATAAATCGAAATTACGTAGATAAATGATTCCTTAACATGATGAAATTATATTTTTAATAATTTGATATCCGGTTATGTATTATTTTCAAATTTATTAGATAATTGTGAATTGAAAGCGAGTTAAAAGTTCGTATAGATGATTTCAAATTATCTTCCATATCTTTTTATTTATATATTTTATTTATATATGGGAGAAGGAGACGAGTTCGTTTAATTAACAATATATATTCATTAATTTATTATATGTAACAATTTTATAATTTTTAATTTTATATGGAATACGAAACGTGACACGTGTGATATTTTATTTTTCAACATCCTTCGCGAATCGTTCGATAAACAAATTATATCTTAATAGCAATTATTATCGAATAAATTATTATTATTGTTTTCGAAAATTCTCTCTTTCTCCGCGTCGAAATCTCCGTGCCCTTTTGTCGATTCATCGACAATATTTATATTTACAACGAACGGAATACTTGGTCGATCTCGTTCGCTTGCTTTTCTCTACAATTAGTCATACACGTATCGGCACGTAACGAGGATACACGCAACAATCGTGCACGCTGAGTAATTTCATTAATGGCGAATTATTGTAAATTCGTCCCGCGCGTAAATGTTCCGAGTCCTATATATAACGTTTTAACGAGCGGTTGATGAATTCCGATGAAAAATCTGCCATCCGTCGAAAAGTGTCGAAGAATATCGCAAGTGATATTAAAACTGAATGCCAATTAATATCGAATGGATTTCCAGTTATTCAAAATATCCGATAATATCCCGATGGAGAACGAGTTTTAATATCTGGTTGATTGCCACTTCTACGATTCGTCGGGATTAATAGGGAATTGTAAAGGGCCAATCGTTTCCTTCTCCCCTGTAAAATTATATTTCCACTTTGAGGTGAGGAAATTTTCCGAAAATAATATAATATAATTCGTATAAATCCTTTTTGAAATTTGCCATTAAATTCTCGTTTCTTGAAATTATTAAAAAAAAAATATATATATATGTTCTTTAATATAACTCCATAAATTATCTATAAGATTTTTTTTTTAAACAAACATTGCTCGTTGAAAATTAATCAATTTTCTTCTACAGTTTCTTTCTCTAGGGCTTCCCGATTAAATACCTCTTATTGGATAACAAGACTACAAGGGACAATGTTATTAAAGCCCGTATAAAACAAATTCACGACGACTGCGGATAGGCTTAATCACGTTAAAACGAATCAATAAACATTGTGCATCTGATACCTGGCAGAAATCAACAGCGAAGCGCGTCACGGTCTAATAGGGTAAATTGAAGCATAGCCGCGACAATCCGATCGAAAACCCCCCCTCCCCCCTTTCCGTATCGAAGGGGACAGGATTTGAGACGAGGCGTTTGAGATTGGCGGATACA